AGAAGGCCGTAAAAGGCCGTAGAAGCCCGTAGAAGGCCGTAGAAGGCTGAAGAAGACCGTTTGTCGGCCATTATGATCGTGCTAAACTTTGATCCCTCTACCAGGACCTCTGGACCGCCGTAACATCCGAGCAGCGGCCGCGTCCGCCATTTTGACACATACACACCGGCCGGACCGGACCAGATCAGACCAGACCAGACCAGGCCAGACCAGACTAGGCCGGACCATGCCAGACCAGGCCAAGCCAGACCGGACTTGGCCGGACCATGCCAGCCTGGACCAGACCAAGCCAGACCGTTCTAGGCCGGACTAGATCAGACCGGACCAGGCCCTACCAGGTCCGACCAGACAAGACCAGACAAGACCTGCAACTATACTCACCGAACACCCCCGACAGGTCCTGACTCCCGAGTGATAATGTTTCGCAATGTCCCCGCAAACTTTACAAGAATCCACAGATTTTTTGACGGATTCTAGGAAGCTGCTCACAAAAATTGTGTTGGGATCCGGATCCTGTTCCGGAGCGGGTGTAACAGGAGTCTGTACGGGCTCTGGATCTTTTGTGATGATTTCCGCTAGTTGGGATAGTAAGGTGGTACTGTGTACAGGTGGTTTCTTGTACAAGGACAAGGTTTTGAGAGTGCACGGGCGGCTTCGAGAGTTTTCTGGAACAAAAATTGTCTTATTATTCAATGCTTTGTGAAGAGGGGATAAAGTAGGAAGATACTTAACTGCTATGAGGGTGCTCAACTGCTATGGTAGTGCTCAACTGCTATTGTCTCAACCAGGTTGTGTGAAAAATGTTCGAAAAATGCTTTTTTTTTCGGTTTTTTCGCTTATTTACCGAAAAATGTTTCGCCATTTCAAACCGCAAAAACAGAAAAAAAACCAAAAAAAGTTTCGAAAAAAACTTGAAAAAAAAAACGGAAAAATTCGAAAAAAAAAATCGAAAAGTCCCAAAAAATTCCGAAAATTCATTTTTTTTTACGTTTTTTAATTTTGTCCGAAAAAGTTTTTCGAATTTTTTCGGACCAAATTTTCGAAAAAAAAATTTTTTTCGATTTTTTTTGGGAATTTTTTTTTTCGCACAGCCCTGGTCTTAACTGCTATATTAGGCTCTTCTGCTATGGATCAACTGCTATTTCCGCCACTTCTTATGTTTCAGCTGCTATAGCTATAGCAGTTGATCCATAGCAAAGATTCACTTTTGTTGAACACCCTCAGCACCATGTTTGAGAAAAATTTTGCAAAAAAAGTAAAATTAAAAGGAAGAAAGCAAAAAGCAAGAAGCAAAAAAGGAAGCGTGGTTGCTATGACAAAATTGACAAAATGGGGTCTGGAGAGGATCCTCAAAATCTATCTCAAGCGTCTTAGGAAAAAAAAAACGAAAAAAAAAGTAATCTGCTCCTGGCCCTTTTGACGACATGATCTATTTTTGGTGAAGGAAGCAGATTGAAAGGGTAGGACAGCAACGTCTCAATCTTCAGATTAAAAAGGCAACCGAGTGAGGGGAGATTGGAAATCTTGGAGTGTGTCCGCTTAGTAGATAGAAAGGGCTCACGGAAAGGAAATGAGAAAAGAAAAGTAGATGAAGGCTATGAATTTTCTTTTTGGGGTCTTGGTCTGAGGTATAATCCGACAAAAAAAATTTGATGATCATGCTCGGAGCACTATATCTCAGTTGCCATTGAAGCTAGCGAAAAGTAGTCAACTAGTAAAATGTTCAAAATTCTTTGCTTAGCATTTTTTTAGTTGACAACTTTTTGATAGCTCCAAAGGCTACGGAGATATGCTGCTCTCAACATAAAGGTGTGCCTAAATTCCAGGATTCACTGTATCCTTCGAAAAAAAAACTCACTCTTAATACCCATCCCAACTGCCAAACACTTTTTGAACTTGCACGCCACACACTTCCGTGACCATGGAGTTATCACACAGCTCCCACCATTTTCGCATTTTTTGACAGGAGGTTTTGTCTTGAAGCGACGGAAGCATGACTGAAATTTCACTTTGAGAGCATAACTGGTACAAACAGATATGTCAGAATGCTCAGGGAATTATCGGCAAGTTGCCGGCAAAAACGGCAGCTTGCCAGCAAAAACGGCAAGTTGCCTGGAAGAATGGCAAGTTGCCTGGAAGAACGGCAAGTTGCCTGGAAGAACGGCAGGTTGCCAGCAAAAACGGCAAGTTGCCAGCAAAAAAGGCAAATTGCCAGCAAAAACGGCAAGTTGCCAGCAAAAACGGCAAGTTGCCAGCAAAAAAGGCAAATTGCCAGCAAAAACGGCAAGTTGCCAGCAAAAACGACAAGTTGCCCGCACAATCGGCGATTTGCCTGCTAGAACGGCAAGTTGCTCGTAAAAATGGCAAGTTGCCGCCATACCAACATGCTGTTAGCTTGCCGCGTTGTGAACAACTTTGCCTAAGCCTGCTAGAACGGCTAATTGCCAGCAAAAATGGCAAGTTGCTTGCACACAACACCAAATTGCCAGAAAATTAGGCAAGTTGCCTGAGAAAACGGCAATTTGCCTGCACGAACGGCAAGTTGCCAGCGAAGACAGCGAATTATTTGCACACAGCTGCGAATTGCTAGAAAATTAGGTTAGTTGCCCCAAAAAACTGCGACTTATCGCAACAGCAACCGGCTCTTTGCTTGCCGAGCGCTGAGCAACTTGCCTTCTGCTTGCCGTAAGAATTTAGCAAGCAATCGGCGAGTTGCTGGACAATTTCATCAGCTTGCCGGTTGACAGCGGCAAGCTGCACGGCAACTTGCCGATATTTACCTGAGCTATTGAACCTACAGCTTACCTTGCAATTCTCACAAGTCTGCACACCATAGTGAAATCCATTCGAAACATCACCACAGACCACACAAATTTCTGTGGGGGAACTTATAGTAAGGGCTAAGCTCAGCTCAGTCTCTCGCCCTAAAGCATTCATAATATACTAGAACAAGCGCCGTAGAAGATTATCCCCCGTAGGTAATCGAGAAAAAAAGGCGTGTCGTTCCCCCCGGCGGTCCATGGAGCGCTGCGCGGGAAACCAAATGAGAAGTGAGATAGTGTGGAGATAGAGGAGAATTATACAGAGTAGCAGGTGCAAAAAGACAGAGTCAGTTGCACTAATGATCCATCACTAGACTCGCCGCGGCGACCCAGTTCTTTAGAGGGTACGCCATCTGTCCAGCTCGGGGAGGGAAGGGCGCTGCTTTTTTTTTTGGGGGGGGGGGGGGGGGGGGGGATACGCTTGAGAAATTGAAGGGGAGTAAGAGACAAGGGTGGGATGAATACAGTTAAGGAAAATTTAGAAAAAAAAACCAAAAAAAAAAAAACCACTTTCCGAACCTTTTTTTCCCGGAAATTCCAATTTTCCCCGGAAACTTTCCGTGAAAAAAAGTTCCAGAATTTCAGATTTTTCCCGGAAAACGTTCCGGATATTCCGGAATTTTTTTCACGGAAAGTTTTAGGAAAAAAACGGAACTTCCGGAATTTTTTTCGTGAAAAGCTTCTGAAAAAACCGAGAATTTCCAGATATTTTTCAATTTTTTACCCGGGAAATGTTTCCGATCGGGATTTTTACCGGAAATTCGGGATTTCCAATCCCGGCTAACTTATCAAGGGCTAACTTGAAGGTGTCTCACATCAAAAACCATAACATTTTTATTCGAATTTTTCAGCAAGAAACAAAAAAAAACACAAAAAATTAAAATCCTCAACGAAAAAAAAACAATCAAATCCCATCCTGCTAAACTTCTTCCTCAGCTCTCTTTGAAATAAGCTCCTCCTTTTCCGACTTATGATGGCAATAAATCTCACAAAACAAGGAATCCTCATCGAAGGCACCGCGGTGTCTCCCAAGAAAATCACAAAGAGTGTCTATCTCTTTTTCTGAAAATATATTTTTCTTTATTAGGAAATATCAGCTGAGGAAAACGCGCTCCATTGTTAATTTTGTCCGCCTGGTTGAAAAAACTAGGCCAAGACTGTCAAAATGGCGGCTGCGGCCTGTAAAAGAGTCGGGACGCGTAAGGCCGTGGCCGGGTGTCATGGACTGGCCACCAGGGCCGCTAGGCAGCCATAAATCCGCCAAAACCGCCAAAATTGGGGGCTTAGAAAATATTGAGTTTTGAATTCCCACCAAAAAATTTCTGAAAATTTGAATTCCCACCAAAATTTTTTGAAATTCGAATTCCCGCCAAAATTTTTTGAAATTCGAATTCCCGCCATTTTTTTTCCGAAAATTTGAATTCCCCCCAAATTTATCGGTTTTTTTACTCACCCAGCGTCACCATATCCTGAAGAAGTCTCATCATTCTCTCCATCTTCAACGGTGAATACCCCTGCTCCCTGAAGTGAAGTCGACATTTCCTTTTGTACTCCGTAAAAACTTCAGCGAGATGTCCAGGGTTATTGAGTATTGGGACCCATTCATGGAGCGGATTGTAGAAGGTTATTACAATAATGATGGCCAAATCCTCATCACAAGATATCCATTCTCGAACTTTCCCAGCCATTTGCACCATGTCATTCGCTAGTTGGTAACCGTAGAGCAGAGTGAAAATGGAGAAATTGATGAATCGGCCATCCGGGAGGTAAAGCCCTCTGTAGTCCAGGGACTGACTGATTTTCAGGAGATACACTTTGAAAGCTTGTTTTCTGAGCAATGTTGCTCTATCGGGAGCTTCGAATTGGTTTTCCAGGTATTGCATAAAGCGTCCGGATGTCTCGATGTCCCTTTCCATAACCTCGCTGTACAGCTTCCAGACAGCAACTCGGTTGGTGAGATTGTCGAAGCGTTTGTCGATTTTCTGGAAATGGCTAGATAAACTGGAAATCATTTTGGTGCAATTTGCCGTAAGATGTGGTGCACGCAGAAAAAAAAACAAAAAAAAATTGCCACCAATGGGGTCGAACTTACCCCCCGCAGTTTGGGGGCCGCGCGCGTTACCGGTTGCGCCATGCGGCTGCGCCACGCTGCGGAAAGCGCCTCCTTTTGCGCGATGCACACCCAGCCTAGTGGTTAGCGCTGATGTCTAGGAATTTTTCATCGCGGGTTCAACCCCCGCTGGGGCTAAATCTTTTTTTTTTCTTTTTTTCTTTTCGAAATTGGTTTTGGACCCGCCGAATTTGCTCCCCAACATCTTCTATAAATTGGTTTCTATAAATTGATGGTCTTCTATGAGTGGATTCTGAAATTTCTAGTTCTCACTGGAGCCTGAGAGTCTGAAAATCTTCTCTGGCCCCGCCCCGCGATTTCAGATTAAGATTTCCAGACCTTCGGGCTCCAGTGAGGGCTGGAAATTTTAGAATTCACTCACAGAAGCTTCTACTTTCAGGGTCCTAACTCCTAACCCGCGTGAGACAAAAAAAACTTACATATCCAAAATCCGATGCGACCACCTTCCTAATTTTCTCTTTGGTATAATCACAATACTTCAAATGAATGGCGAAAATATCTCTGATTTGTTGTGGAAAGCGAAGATTTTTCATGTAAAACTCGTCCTTCATTCCAACTCTCAAACACTTTTCAAATCCACAAGAATTACATATTGGAGGTCTATGGAACGCCACTTCACAATTTCCATTTGATGGACACGTCGATTGGGCTCCTTGGAAGTGCATGAAACAGTTCTGGAAAATGGAGGAAATAATGCTCTGAAATTTTTTTCCGGTAAAATTTTCGGTGCAAGAATTCTGGAAAAATCCAAAATTCCGAATCATTTTTTTGAAAAATAGAAACTTCGAATTTCCCGAATTCGACAGAAAAAGTCGGGAAAACTAGAATACCGGAATTTTCGAAATTTTGAAAAATCTTTCCAAAAAAGGAATTCCGAAAATTACAAAAATTCCGGAAATTCTGAAAATTCCGAAATTTCGGAAAATTCCGGAATTTCCGAAATTCCGAAATTCTGAAAATTTCGAATTTTCGAAAATTCCGGAAAATGTTTTTTTTCGAAAATTCAGAAAGTTCCGGGAGCTCCAAAAGTTTCGAAAATTCTGAAAAATCCGATATTCCAGAAATACCGAAAATTCCGGAAATTCCGGAATTCCGAAAATTCCAAACTTCTGAAAATTCGAAACTTCCGAAAGCCTGAAAATTCCGAAAATTCAAAAAATTCCAAAATCCTGATATTTCGAAATTTTCAGAGTCATTTTCTTAATCAAAAAAATTAAATTCCGAAAATTCCAGAAACTCCGAAATTCCTTGTGACTGGATTCTGAAATTCCTAAACCTCCGAAAATTCAAGAAAAGTTGAAAATTCCGGAAATGTCAAAAATTCCGGAAATACCGAAAATTCTGGAAAAAATCGAAAATTCCGAAATTCCGGAAAACCCGAAATTCCGAAAATTCCAAAAGGTCTGAAAATTTCGAAAATAACGGAAAAATTCCAAAATTCCGGAAATTCTGAAAGTTCTGGAAATTCTGAAAATTCCAAAATTCCGAAAACTTCAAAAACTCCAAAAATTCCGAATTTTCGAAAATTTCAAAAACTCCGAAATTCCGAAAAATTCCGAAAATTCCAAAAATTCCGAAAAAAATCGAACATACTGGGAATTCCGTAAATTTTGAAAATTCCGAAAGTTCGAACATCCGAAAACTTCGGAAAATCAAAAATTCTGAAAATATTGAAAATTCCGAAAATTTCCATTTTTTGAAAATTCCAAATGTTCCAAAATTCCGAAAATTCCGGAAATTCCCAAATTCAGAAAATTCCGGAAAATTTCGAAAAATCCGAAAAATCCAAAAATTCCGAAAATTCCGAATTTCCGAAAATTCTGGAAAAACCAAAAATTCCGAAAAAAACAATAAAAATACGAAAATTTTCACTAAAAATCCATCAAAACTCGATACAAACTGGCAAAATGCATACTTCAAAACCCCAAAACTACACTCAATTTCTTCCTAATTTTTCAAATTTCGCGGCAAAACAATTCACTCACCCGACACTGTTCGCAAGCCAACACTCCATAGTAGACTTCACTGGCTGGACACCCACAAATCTTACACTCTCCCACGACATTCTTCATATTTTTCAGAATATATTTCTGAGCAACACGTGGCAAAGAGGCGGATGGTTGCGGTGAGATCTTCGGCTTTGCCACAAAGTAACGACGACGTTTTGATGGTGGTGGAGCATTTTGATCAGTCATCTTGGATGAAAAATTCTCAGAATTCTCAGAATTCTTTCCGGGATACGAAGGATTTTTGAGAATTGGCTGACCTAATAAAAAAGAATCAACATTCATAATTCCAAAGGGTCAAGGGACAAAGAGAAATCGATGATTGGTAATAATGAGTAATAGTGACGAGGAGGGGAGAGGGGCTATGCGACACACAACCTTTTCTGTTTTCCACCTGCTAATACCTAGAGATATTGGGGCCGCATATTGTTGCATGACAGCTTCTGGGGAAAAATATTTGAGGGTTTGTAGCTCTTTAGGTTTTTGGTTATGAGTTTTGTAAGTGAAAGATCTGGAAGTAGCGTGAAAAGAGCTACAAAATGAGTACAAACAAGACATGGTTTGGAGAAAAAATTATTTTTTCAATTTTTTTTCGAAATCGAAATGGTGGGCTCATACACATACCGTCAGGTCAATCTGAGTTGTGCGAGTTAGGCTTAAGTGTCTGAGCCCGGAAATTCGTCGGGACACCCTAGCCAGTTGTCGTGCAGCCCAGGTTAGGAATGTTTTCCCGACTTTTTTTTCGAAAAAAAAAACCACACTTGAAAGTTCTACAGTAAACGTTTCCCCGTGGTTAAACCCAAACTTGCCGTTCATTTGCTATTTTTCAACCGCCTCATCTTCTATTCGAACAACCTATCCCAGCTGATCATTCTCAATTTGAAACTCATTCAACTGGCAAAGACACTGCCCTTTCAAGGTTTCACTTTTCCCCCCAGCTGTTCGTATTGCCTGGTACGGGGTACAGCTTCCTTTATGTCATAGTTATCGCAATTTTTTCATGAGAAATACTGAAATTTTGAAAAAAAAACTCGAAAAAGGGTCAGATTTTTCTGCGCCGGGTCCTCCAGGCCAGGCCGGTCCGGACTCAATTTGGACAAGTATGGTCTGTATTGCTTTTTTGATGATCCTTTTTTTACCCGATTGAAGTGAAAGGGCATTTCCCTTAGAACTTTAGGAAATCGGAAATAGCGTAAATTGTTGCAAAACAGAAAACTCCAATTTGATACCTGTTGCTCTTTTTGGACCTTTTTTTTGGAAAATTGTCTTAAATTTCAAGTTTTTTTTTCGAATTTCAAGCCCAAGTTGATTTGGAAAATCACATCTCATTAGTTGGGTTCTGATGAAATCCTTGACTTTTAGGAATTTTTTCTGATTTTTTCCGATTTTTATCGGTTTTTCCGAAATTTTTCCGGTTTTTGCCGATTTTTCCGATTTTTTCCGATTTTTTCCGATTTTTCCCAATTTTTCCGAGCTTTTTCCGAAATTTCCGACTTTTTTCCAATTCTTCCCGATGTTTCCGAATTTTTTCCGTTTTTCCCCCGATTTTTCCTATTTTTTTCCGATTTTTCCGAATTTTCCCGATTTTTTCCAATAACTTTCCCGGAAAATTTCCCGACATCAACTTCTTCCGAAGTATTTTTTCGGAAGTTTTTCGGCCGGAAAACGAACCTTTAAAAAAGATTAAACCCCGGAAACCCCGAATTTCCGATTCCTAGCCAAAACTGACCATTATAAATCGAATGACGTCACACCGGTCCGGTAAAAATTGACTTCCCTTTTGCAAATACGTCTCTTGACCACTACTTTGTTATCAGTTGGCGTGTGTCTCTCAAGAATACTCCCAATAGAGTTTTTGTTATCAACTTCTATTACTGATAACCGAACACAACTTTCGGTTACAACTTTTCTTCGACAATTTATTATTTGGTCAAGTTTTTGTCCGTTTTGGCGGGGTTTGGGTTGATTTTTTGATTTCTTTTTATTCTGAGCACATATTTTTGTTTGGCACTTTTGATACTGGAAAATATCATTTAATTTTTTGTTTTTCCTTATTTTGTTTACCAGTTAATAGTCGATTCAGCATTTACCAATTTTTTTATAAACACAGAATTTGGAAACCTTTTTCTTCAAAAATTTTTTGTGCGAAAATTACAATTATTCTGAAATCCAATTTGAATGATTGAAACTTTTTTTTTAATATCTTTAGATCCAATTCATGCATGACAAAAACTACTAGACAGCCCTATCATGTCATCAATCTGGGATTTCCCCACTAGTACTATTGGGAATATTTATCAGACTGAATGTGAACTCATTAATTTTTTTTATCACGCCCAATAACAATGAATAGGTTTTTCTCTTTTATACTAACACGACAGATGATATGAGTGATGAACGCGATTAATAACTAGTCCGTTACTCTATGAGCTGTCTTTGGGAAGTTTAGTGGTGTTCTCTAAATTTTCCATAGATTTCAAAAGGGTTTACTACCAATTTTACTCTATCATGAATCTCTAAAAGCGATACAGCTTTCGATTTTTTTTTCATCGTTTATTTTTGATTGAATCTGGCTCTAATATCTTTATTTTTTCCTAATTTTGAATCATACCAATTGTAAATTCACACCTAAACATTTTGAACACCATCATCAAATATATGATTTGCAACCAGATGAGTTAAGAGTGATGAACACCAAGTAGTGCAAATAGTTGTTGCCAGCTGTTAATTAGGAGGAAAAGGGCAGTATATATGTCAGTTTTCAGGGCGAGTAAGTTGAAATTTGGGGAGAGTTAGAAACAGCTGGAGTAGGAGGTTTGAAGAAATTGTCTATTCTTACTTTGGGTTTGCTGACGATAAGAAGAAATAACACCTTCACTGGTGAAATTAGGTATTCAAGATATACGTGAGTTTTTCAATCATCTGAACAGATACCAGGTAAAAACAACTTTTCATCCGCAGATAGTATTTCTGCTAAAGATAAAGATCGCGGTGGTAAAAACGTACAACTTTTTTTTTATAAAAGACAAAAATTTTCTTTTTCTGACAATCGAAAATGAACGGTTGCAGTGCCAAAAGACGATTCATAGAATTACGTACGGTCCCCCGTTA